ACAGATCTGTCTGTCTTGGGAGCCAGGAGGTCAGGCAGCCTCCTGGGAATGAAAAGCTTCGATTCAGACAATGATAGGGACATTATTGAGTAGAATAGAAAGTTCACATGAACTTTTCAAATAAGAACAAGAGACCTCAGAGAGGCTGTGGTGCCCTGCAGGAGGCTTTGAGCTATGTTGCTCCCCAACTCCAGGGCACCTGAGCAGGGAAGTCAGGGACAGTTTCAGAGCATTCAGGTGATCTCAGTGGCCCACCTGGGAAAATCAAAGATGGGCTTTCTTCTCATAAACAGGAAGCAAATGGGCAATGGCCCATAGCACACAGCTAGCAGATCAGATCCACATCTGCCCAACATGGAAAGTAAAAACAGACTGCAAGGAGAGCTTAACCTTTCCAGACACACTCTCTCCTGCGGATCCTGAGTCAGGCCTTGACAGAAGCAAATGGGTACCTGCCAGAGTTTTGAGAGGTGACCTGGACTGTCCGAAATTTTCCAGAGTCTAAAATGGAGGGATGATGTCTAGAAAGTTCTACAATATCCCAAACGGTACCCTATAGGTAACAGGTACTCAATAAATGTTTGGGGATGATGAGAAATCAGCCTGACATAAGCAGAGAGCTAACCAAGGAACTTGGCTCCCACAGCACCAGGAGCACCAAATATTCCGGGGCAGGACCCAGGGTCTCCCTCCAACCCCCAACCCAGGGTCCTCCTGAAGTGGTCCTCAGATACATGTTGAGGGACACTGATCCTGAGAAGATGTCACACACCCAGGGATGATGGGGCTGGGACTAGAACGTGGTCAGATAATGCCCCACTCAGAGCTGCTTCTCCTGTGCCAGAGCATGACTGATTATTGATAGAGACCGGGTATTTCTCTCTAAGTACCAACAACCATCTGTAACAAATTTCTGCAGTTGGATGTAATTCAGAGTAAGCAAGTCATCCTCAACGCAGTTCTAAACTGGTCTCTATGATTAATGTTCTTTGAAAGTGGCTGAAGGCCTGTTCTTGCAAGAAAAATGAACTTGGAAGCTTCCACTGGTTTGGCTTGGAGTGCTCTTCATCATTCGCTCGGCTTGTTGCAGCAGCAGCCTACAGCTGAAATCAAGAAGCATTTTCTATCCAGGCAACGGCACAGGTCCCAGTGCGATGCCTGGAGCTCCAGCTGGACTCAGTGGCTTAAAAGGGTTATTTCATTCCTTCTCATCAACCCAGAAGTCTCACCTTATCCAAAAACTCATGTTCGAACTAATGACAATTAAAATGCAAAAGTATTGTTTCCTAGTTCCTTGGCCCTGTTTTTCTCATCCATAATTTTAAGCCCTCTTTGTATTATAAAATGTTTTATAAACCATGTCCAAACCCCTTTGAAATGAAGGTGTAATCAGTAATGCTCTCCACTGAATTCATCAGGTGATCTTGCATGGTGGAGAAGTCACACTGACCTTGACTTCAGTCCCAGAGCCCTTCCTGTACTCTCTGTGTAACCTTCAACAAATGACCTAAACTCTCTAAGCCCCATTTTCGTCTTCTACAAAGTGGTACTAATACCCACATTATAGGATTGCTGGGACATTAGAAAGACAAAAATAAGATGGTACGAAAGTGCTTTGTGCGGGTGGTATTGTCACTAAGGCATCTAGCAAAAAGACTCCATTTCCCCTTGGGCAAAAAAAAAAAAAAAAGTGAGAGGGGGATGAGGAGCATTTGGGACATGATTTCTTGTAAGAAGTGATGATGGAATAGTGAGAACAGCCAGAATGGTAACTGATAGATAATGCCCGTGTTTGTTTATCAAAGGCAAGTGGACAGGAAGAAGAAAGGCCCACACAGAAAGGATCCAGAGATTTTGTCCTATCTTGCTGCTGTTTGAATGTTTCTGTCCCCTCCAAAATACACGTATTGGAAACTCAATTCCCAGTGCAACAGCCTTGGGAGGTGAAGTCTTATGGTGGGCATCAGGGCCACAAGAGCTCTGATGAATGCATTAATGCCGCTATAAAAAGGGCTTGCAGTGGTACTGGTACCAAAACAGACACATAGACCAATGGAACAGAATAGAGATCTCAGAAATAAGACCACACGTCTACAACCATCGGATCTTCAACAAACCTGACAAAAACAAGCAATGGGAAAAGGATTCTCTCTTTTATAAATGGTGCTGGGAAAACTGGCTAGCCATACGCAGGAAACTGAAACTGGACCCCTTCCTTACACCTTATACAAAAATTAACTCAAGATGGATTAAAGACTTAAATATAAAACCCAAAACCATAAAAACCCTAGAAGAAAATCTAGGCAATACCATTCAGTCAGGACATAGGCATGGGTAAAGATTTATGATGAAACGACCAAAAGCAATTGCAACGAAAGCAAAACTTGACAAATGGGATCCAATTAAACTAAAGGGCTTCTGCAAAACAAATGAAACTATCATCAGAGCAAACAGACAACCTATAGAATGGGAAAAAATTTTTGCAATCTACCCATCTGACAAAGGTTTAATATCCAGAACCTATAAGGAACTTAAAAAAATTTACAAGAAAAAAACAAATGACCCCATTAAAAAGTAGGCAAAGGACATACCCTTCTCAAAAGAGAACATTTGTGCAGCCAATAAATATATTAAAAAACAGCTGAACATCATTGCTCATTAGAGATATGCAAATCAAAACCACAATGAGACACCATCTCATGTCAGTCAGAATGGTGATTATTAAAAAGGCAAAAGGCCAGGCATGGTGGCTCACGCCTGCAATCCCAGCACTTTGAGAAGCTGAAGTGGGCAGATCACCTGAAGTCAGGAGTTTGAGATCAGCCTGGTCAACATGGTGAAACCCCATCTCTACTAAAAATATGAAAATTAACCAGGCACGGTGGTGTGCGCCTGTAATCCCAGCTACTCGGGAGGCTGAGGCAGGAGAATCACTTGAACTCGGGAGGCAGAGCAGTGAGCCGAGATTGCACCACTGCACTCCAGCCTGGGCAACAATGTAAGGCTTCGTCTCAAAAATAAATAAATAAATAAATAAAAAGTCAAGAAACAACAGATGCTGGTGAGGCTATGGAGAAATAGGAACACTTTTACACTGTTGCTGGGAATGTAAATTAGTCCAACCATTGTGGAAGACAGTGTGGCAATTCCTTAAGAATCTAGAACCAGAAATATCATTTGGCACAGCAATCCCATTGCTAGGTATATACCCAAAGGATAGAAATCATTCTTTATAAAGATACACGCATGCAAGTATTTATTTATTTATTTGCTATTCACAATAGCAAAGACACAGAATCAACCCAAATGCCCATCAGTGATAGACTGGATAAAGAAAATGTGGTGCATATACATCATGGAATACTATGCAGCCATAAAAGGATCAATATCATGTCCTGTGCAGAAACATGGATGGAGTTAGAAGGCATTATCCTCAGCAACTAACACAGAAACAGAAAACCAAACATTGCGTGTTCTCACTTATAAGTGGGAACTTAACAATAAGAACACATGGACACAAGGAGGGGAACACCACACACCGGGGCCTGTCGGGGCTGCAGGGAGAGGGAGAGCATCAGGATAAAAAGCTGATGCATACAGGGCTTAACACCTAGGTGATGGGTTGATGGGTGCAGCAAACCGTCGTGGCACACATTTACCTATGTAACAAATCTGCACATCCTGCACACGTATCCTACAGCTTAAAATAAAATGTTTTAAAAAAGAGTTTGCAGGAGTGGGTCCACTCTCTTCTGTCCTTCTACTATGTGAGGACACAGAGTTCCCCAATGTTTGCCCTGTTCTGCCATGTGAGGACACCTCAAGAAGGCCCTTAGCAGACACCAGATGCCGGCACCTTGGTCCTGGACTCCCGTCCTCCAGAACTGGGAAAACACATTTCCGTTTTTTATCAGTTATCTGGCCTGTGCTATTCTGTCACGGCAGCACAACACTGCCTCAGTCGTATGTTTGTCTGTTGACATGGGTTATGAGTGTGTGTACTGTCTACTTTTAACCTCCCACGCTGACTCCCTGGAAGCCCAGAGTCCACCTCACCACATTTCAAGTCTCCTTCACAGCCCCTGGCGGGGCATCTTGTACATGATGGGTCTTCAGTAAGTGTGCTGATCTCTTGATCAGGAGCAGCCCTCGGCCCTCTCTGTAGTGTCATTGAGCCAGTGCGGCTAGGGAGAAAGGGGGGCGCTGGGTTCGGAGGGGAAGGGAGGCATCCACCCTTTATAGACCCAGCACTGGGGCCTATAATATAAAATTTGTTCTTCCTGAAAATCAGGGTCAGGAAAAGCTACTCTGCTCACCTGCAGATGTTTCGTGATTTCACCCCCACATGGACCCTTGCTCCAATGCTACCTGAAACATGCTGGGGCTCCTGAGTCAGCTACCACAGCTGGGATTCCTCCAGTGCAGCCTTGTCACCGTCACTGTGGCCTCCGTCTGGTGAGCCTGAGCCGCCACCCCCCACCCGCTTGTTTTTACATCTACTGTCAGCTCACACCTTCCACCCTCTGTAGCAGGGCGGCACCACTCTGTCCTCACATTGCCTGGTTGCCTCGGTGGCTGTCTGCTGTCAGCTGCTTCTGTGAGTGGTGTGCTGGTGTTTTTCCCTTAAGCTGGTATGTACCAGTGTTCACTCTCTCCCTCACATGAACTCCTTTCCTCTGACTTCAGAGAGAAAGGAGGCTCCTTTGCCTTTACCCCACCTCGCCCCAGGCTCAGCTCTTGCCAGAAAACACATGAGCCAGGTTCAGCCTCCACCAAGAGAGCCAGAGTGTGGAAGACCAGCATTCCCACCTGTCAGAGCGATAGGCGCCAAGAACGCCATTTGCACCATGTGTACCAAGCCTGGTGCAACGAGTCACCAATACCCTGGGGCACAGCAGGCCACTTCCGGCTAGTCAGGCCTCAAGTTGACAGAGGCAGCACAGCAGTGCAACAGCACAAATGCTGGGAGTCAGGCTCTGACACTGCCAGCTCCTAGCTGTGTAACACTGGGCAAGATCCTTAACCTCTCTGTTTCTCCATCTACAAATGAAGAGTCACTTCCTCAGACTGTAGCAGTAAGAATTAAGTGAGGTGCGGCCGGGCGCGGTGGCTCACGCCTGTAATCCCAGCGCTTTGGGAGGCCGAGGCAGGTGGATCACGAGGTCAAGAGATCAAGACCATCCTGGTCAACATGGTGAAACCCCGTCTCTACTAAAAATACAAAAAAAAATTAGCTGGGCATGGTGGCGCGTGCCTGTAATCCCAGCTACTCAGGAGGCTGAGGCAGGAGAATTGCCTGAACCCAGGAGGCGGAGGTTGCGGTGAGCCGAGATCGCGCCATTGCACTCCAGCCTGGGTAACAAGAGCGAAACTCCGTCTCAAAAAAAAAAAAAAGAATTAAGTGAGATGCTTAGCACATGGCAAATATCATACTTTTAAGAAAAAGGTTTGCATTTATGTCAGGGGTTGGGGAGGATCTGATACAGTGTGCCTTCAATGCTATAGCTCTGTTGTTTAAAATGCCCTCATTATCTCTATACAGAGAGACTAAGAAGGAAACAAGGTCCACGCAACCTTTGACAGTTTCGTTCTAATCGGGATGGATACTTTTGTTCCCAATCAGTGGGTGTCATAAATTAGGGTTCTTCCTAGGATTTCTGTCCCTATTTGTACCCCACCCACCAGAGCCACAAGGAATTGTCAGAACATCTCAGATCACTTCTGGGCTCAGCACAAATCAGTGGGCTGTGAGCCCCACACCCAATTCATCTTCAGCCCGGTCAACTGTGAGCACCGGAGAGAAGGAATTGCTTTCTGAGAAGTCAAATAAGCCAAGTGAAGCACTCTGCCAAACCCACGTCCTCCATCAAGATTGACTATCATTACTTTTCTTCTTGCTGACAGTGAGGAAGAAGTCACCCCTCCCCCATCCTTTCCTGGGCCCTCTCATTTTCCCAGCAGGGTCCTGAGGTCAGTCAAATCATGGGTCTTTTCTAGTTCCAGCTGCTGGAATTTAAACAAATCCCATTCTCCAAACCTCAAAGCCAGAATCACTGGCTTTACAAACACACAGCAAAAACAAACCCAACCCAACCCAGTGGCTAACCTATGCACCACACTCCCAATGTCTTCGTTCGGAACATTCCGCCTCTCTGCTGAGAGCTTTCTGATCCTTGAGAAGAAAGCAACTGAGAGATAAAAGCGAAGCATCTCCTGTTCAGGTTGCAAATACCATCCCAGAGCTCAGCAAGTCAGCCAAGACAGGCTGCTAAGATTTCATTAGCCAGAGAGCTGCTCTCTTTTCAAACTGTCAAGGCATACAGGTGAGCAATTAAGCAACTGAAAGGGAAGAAGGACATGGCTTCTTAAAGAGCATTTAAAAATGCAAAGCATGTTATCTGTGACACCACTCAAGGCACTTAATTAACTCCATGCCCAGCTGTAAGCCCAAAGCCTTCCAGACCACCGGAATGCAGAGGGTGGGGGCTGGCCACGCCTGGGGAGATGACTGAGTCTGGCCTCCCGGTTTACAAATGCTGCACTTGGAAAAGGGGGTCTCACTGCCAATTAGCGAGTTAGGGGCAGGTGCAGGACAGTACCCCAGATCTGTGCCGTCCAACATAGGAGCCACAAATTAATTAAAATGAAAGAATTTAAAATCCAGCTCCTCATTCGTACTGGCCTCAGTTCACATGCTCAGTAGCCACACGGGGCCAGTGGCTACTGAGTTGGATAGTGCAAAACAACATTTTCATCGTCTTGGAAACTTCTACGGACAGGACTGCTCCAGATCATAAGCTCTTTCCACGTCATCAGGGCGTGGGTCTTTTCTTCACACACAGTTATCCATCCATTAAGTATATTGTGAAATCAGCTCAGTGGGTCACAGCCAGCTTTTCCTCTTCTTGTTAATGAAATGAAAGAAAATACGATAGCATTTCACGTGCCGATGAAACAAGGGTGAGCATCATGTCACAAGCCTTATGTTCATTTTTATTTACATTCATACATACATATGTAGGTTATCTATAAATATTTTAATACTGGTGTATATATATGCTATATATGTGTACTATATACAATATTAATGATACAGTATATAAAGATATAGAGAGATAAATATATATCCAGCAGGGTCCTACATTAGTGAAATCATGGGTCTTCTCTGGTTCCATCTGTTGGAATGTAAACAAATCCTATCTGCGAAACCTCAAACTTAATCTCTGGCTTTACAAACAACATACAACAAAGACCATATATATGGATACATATTTTTTCTGACCCTGACTTACAGGAAGAACAAATTTTATATTATGATCCAGTATACTGTGTATATATACATATTCCAAGTTGTCTTTGTTCTGTGCTAAGGACAGAAAAGCAGGACCTCACAAGTCCTAGCACGAGTGCCAGCTCAGCTGTGGTCTCCCTGCCCAGTGCCTTCTGTCCTTACTCATGCTGGGGGCACTGGAGCCCATAATATAAAATTTGTTCTTCCTATAGGTCATGGTCAGAAAAAGCTACTCTGCTCACCTGCAGATGTCTGGTGATTTCACCCCCACTCATTTTCCCCCTATCCCAAATGACTCAGATCACAAGAGAGTGAGGCACAGTATCTGCTCTGCCATGCTACACACAGGTTTTCCTACAGACCTAATTTTCCATGCACTCTTCCCTGTAAATCCATTTCGTCTGGGCACACAGTCAGGCAACCGGATGGCTCCAGACACTCATCTGGGCTCCAGTGCCCCCAGCATGAGTAAGGACAGAAGGCAGTGGGCAGGGAGACCACAGCTGAGCTTAAGTCCAGCTCTTCTATCCTTACCACAGAACAAAGACTTGGAATATCAACAGTGTCTAGAAATCAATCTTGCTCCCTGGGACCATAAGCTCCTCCCTGTCTAGCTATAATTCTATAGTTCTCAGAGGTCGGAAGAAACTGGAGGACTCTTTCCCTCATTGTATGGTTAATTTCCTATGTCAACTTGGCGAAGCTGCAATGGCCAGATGTTGGGTCACACACTTTTCTGGATGCTTTTGTGAAAGTATTTTTTAGATGAGATTAACATTTATACCAGTAGACACTAAGTAAAGCAGACACCCTGTATACTGTGCTGGGCCTCACTCAATCAGTTGAAAGCTTACGAGAAACAGATGAATTTCTTCTGAAGAGGAGGAATTCTGCCAGCAGACTGCTTTGGATTGAACGGCAACATTAACTCTTTTCTGAGTCTCTAGCCCACTGGCCAGGTCTACCCTGCAGGGTTTCCATGCACCCTCTCTTCCTCTTTCTCTCTCTCTCTCTCTCTCTCTCTCTCTCTCTCTCTCTGTGTGTGTGTGTGTGTGTGTGTGTGTGTGTGTGTGTGTGTGTGTGTACCTTTTGGTTCTGTTTCTCTGAAGAAACAGAAGTTTCCTTGACTAATACCTTCCTTGTCATTCGAGACTCTCTCAAATGCTACCTCCTCTGTGCGGCCACTCCTGATTTCCTCTGCCAGAAATAACTGCTCCTCCTTCTGTGCTCATTCTTATAGTATATTTCTTGTGCCACATTTTTGTAAACAATTGCTGTGCTTTGTGCTATCATTAATTGATTATCTAAAGCAGGGGTGTCCAATCTTGTGGCTTCCCTGGTGTGGCCCACACATAAAATACACGAACACTAACAATAGCTGATGAGCTAAAAAAATTGCAAAAAGTTTTCATAATGTTATAAGAAAGTTTATGAACGTATGTTGAGCTGCATTCAAAGCTGTCCTGGACCGCATGCATCCATGGGCCATGGGTCGGACAAGCTTGATCTAAAGCTTAGATTCTAAATCTTGTTGCTCAAAGCTTGGTCTGTGAATCAGCAGCATCAGTATGCCCTGGAAGCTTGCTAGAAATGCAGAATCTCAGGCCCTACCCCAGACCTGCAGAATCAGAATCTGCATTTTAACAGATGCCTAGGTGATTCACATGCACATTAAAGTTTAAGCAGCACTGCTGTAAACAAGTGCTTCTAAACACTGAGGAGCTTTAAAAAATACCTACACCAAGTTCCCACCCTCGGAGACTCTGATGTAACTGGTCTGGGGTGTGGCCTGGGCTGCAAGATGTTTGACACCTTCCAGAGTATTCCTATTCCTATCTTTGTTACAGGAACACACCCCTGGTCTTAGAAGGAGAATTGAGCCCAGTGAAGCTGAGGGACCCCTGTAAGGTCATAAAATGAATTAGTATCAGGAATGAGAATCCTATCAAGGTTTCCTGTCCCCCTAAAAATGTTTTAAGGAAAGAGGGAAAAGATCCATGTGCACTATCAGCAAATTTGTCATGAAACCTGGGTCATCCAACACCCAGCTGACACAAGAAACTATCATCATACCGAATATGTCTTCTGTAGGGAGGAACCAGCAGGATTCTCTAGAAATCAAAGAAATGACTCAGCCTAGGTTGGATCTTACGAACACTTCTCATTTAAAATGACTGTCAAACACCCAATTTGACAAATTTACACCAAGGGTAAAATTATTGCTAGGACAGATGGGTGTCACCTCTGATCTAGGGTGACCCAAAAATGTCCCATGGGGATACAGACAAGTTTCCACCGGTTTCTTCCTTCTCTGCTGATCCTGGGATGCTTTGGTTATGTAATTTCTTTGGAAGGTACAAGATAATGATATAGTACCTTCTTTTTATTGCCATATGGCATGGAGTTTTGATCTGAGTCAGAAGATACTAAGGAGAAAAGATGAGAGAAGTAAAGTAAACTGATCTCTTTTCCTTTCAAGATCCTCTCTGGGTTTCATATTTATACTGGCCTGGTAAGGTCCATTAATTCTTCCGTCACGGTTATGACCAGTCACAACAGGCTTTCCACCCACAGAGATTATTAATGTCACATCCTCTACCTTTGAAGAAGGATAACTACGTGCCAAGAGAACCTGTCAGTGGCAGACACCCACATGAAAAGTGGCTGCACCCGCCAGTGACTCAAGTGTGACAGGGTGACATTCTCAATCACCTCCCTCCCTGTAGCCTCCTGTAAACTGTCCACAATACAATTTCTGACCTGCAGTTGCTTGGGATGGATATCCCCTTGATCTGCTGCCGACAGTGCAGTACTTCCTCTTTGGCAAAACTACCTCTTTCCTTAGTGCAGTGGACCACAACCTGCTTCCTGAGGCATCTGCAGAAGAAGCTAACCCCAAACGCCTACTGTGCTGATAAATTTGTGCCGGAAAATTATACCAAACCCCAGTGAACTGCTAAGCTGACAGTTGGTATTAGCAGTTACTCATGCAGATGTGTTCTCAGCAGTGCTATGAAAGGTGGGGGAGGAACAAGGCACAACATACTGAGCAGGTGCGCACACACCCATGGACACACACATAAACACATGCACACATACACACAGGCACCTGGGTGCATAAACACACACATGTACACACACACACACA